TGCATTCTCCACGATAGACTCTTCCCACTTCTCCCTGGGTCCCGATTCCCTCTGGCCTTCCTTCTCATCCCTGCCTGCCTCTGAGCTTCCTCCCTTGGCAAATGCTGCCCGTTTAGTGGCAAATGGCTGGTTGTTTCAAGGAGTGTGACGCGGGTGTAATGGTTCACCTTACAGGACCTGTCTACCTCTTGATTTGTCTTGCTTGGATCCACAGTCAATGCTCATGGGAGCAGCAGGCAGGAGATCCATGCAGGAAGCATCGCCCTGGGTAAACCTGCTGCTGAAAAACAAGGATGTTCCTTTGGGGACTGACCCAAGCCCCGGGACGATCTTCACTCATCTCCTGTGCATGTGAATGTGGGAGGTTGGCTAAGAAAGGCCAGTGAAGCACGATGCATTTGAACTATGATGCTGCCAAAGAATCCTGAAAGTACTGTGGCCCAAAGGACAGACACATCCATCCTGGGAGAAAGCAGTGCAGCCAGCGTGTCCCCTAGAGGCCAGGCCAGCAGCACTTCACCTCACAGACTTTGTGCTTGTCGTCAGGAGAGACCAATCCCTGGAGAAGGACCTCCTGCTTGGTAAAGGGGGGCAGCGGACGACATGGAGCCCCTGGACAAGATGGACGGCCCCCAGAGATGGCTCCAGCGAAGAACCACTGTGAAGATGGTGTGGCTGGGCAGTGCTTCCTCCTGGGGTGCACGGGCGGCAGGCACTTAGCAACCCCATTGTCTGCAGGGGTGACTTTCCCTTTGTAGGCCTCTTGTTTGGCTGAACGTTGAACCATGGGGCTGGGGGATGGGGGTGGGTGGTGGGGATGGGCTTGAAGGCGGACTTAGGGCATCCTGAATAAGGAGTGATCACTTTAGCATCTTGGAAGAACTTCTGAAGCTCTGGGTACTGCAAAGGAGGGTCCTGTCCCCTGCACGCAGTGGGGTGCCAACAAAAAAAAAACGGAGCAGGAGGTGGCCCTGCTAGTCACCTTTTCCCACCATTACCCCGACCAGGCTCTCTTGGAACTAACAGATGCTTGGGCGGCGTCCGCACGTTGGCGTCCCATTTGCCTTTGTTGGCGTCCCTGTTTGGGAAGCACAGCTGGCCTTCTGAATCGGCCACGCCGACCAGGGAGTCACCTCCGGGGGCCGAGAGCGCTGCAGCCGGGCTCAGACCCCAGCGGGCCGGAACCTTGAAGATGGGAACCCTGGTAATTTGCAGCTGTGTGGGGACTGGGATCTGGGAGGGACTTCCTGTTGTCCCTAATCCCAGTCTCCACCCGGCTCCCTGCACCCGCCAGGTGCAGGCTGCAGAGACCCCCCTTCCCTTCCCGGAGGTGGTGGGGCAGCGCCTGAGGTGCCCCCTCTGCCCCCTGCGCTTCGGTGGGCAGGGCCGCAAGGGGAGCGCCTGGGTCCCCAGGGGCGGCTGCAGCAAGGGCTGGGGTCAAAGCTGGACAGCTTCGGGCTGTCAGAGAGAGAGAAGGGCCCTGGATCGAGGCCAGGGAAGGACAAGGACGTCGGACACTGTCCCCTGGGACCTCAAGCAGGTTGGCCACCTGGGACCCTGGGGTGGAGACACAGCTGGGAGCAGGTAGGATGATGGCTGGACTCGTAAGTGGGCGGAGAGTCACGCCGAGTTCGAGCGCACGGCAGGGGGACCAGCACCTGTTTGGTGGGGTGTCAGTGGAGCGCTCTGCTCTGGGGACAGAGGTGCAGGTTCAGCACAGGTGGGTGGGGCTCCAGCTGCAGCTACAAAGCTTTCGAATCTTTGGAGAACTTCTGAAGCGCTGAGTACTGGAAAGGATGGTCCTGCCCCCTGCCCGCAATGGGGTGCAAATACAAAAGGAACGGAACCACACAGATAGCAGGGGCGGGACACCCCATGGAGTGGGGGAAGCATGGGGGTTTCTTAGGGCCCCTCTGCTGATGTCTTGCTGCTCTTCCAGGGCCTTGGCAAGGACAAGAGGGAGACCACTCAGCTGAGCTTTCTAGCTCTGAGATAGAAAATGTCCGTGGACTGCAGAGGGAGAGTCCTGGCTACCCAGGACCCAGAGGGAGCCCAAGAGGTATGGCTGGGGCTGGGGAGGGAGGAAGGGAGTTGGCGTGCAGTCACCTTCTGAGGGGTCCCCAGGCTGTGACCCTTTCTGGAGGCAGACTGCCACATCTTTCTCCAGAGGAGCAGCGGGGGAGTTCCAGGGGAGCCCAGAAGCTCTGCGGAGTCCCCATCACCAGGGAGCTTCAGTGGGAATGGGAGGGAGCGTTACCGAGAAGGTGGCATGATGGGAAATAACTCCCACTTGGGATTCCACTTCTGAACACAGCTTGGCTGAATTCAGGTAGCAAGGAGCCCAGTAAGGTTCTACTGGGGAAGTTTGCTCCCCAAACAGTGCTCAACGCACCCAGGAAAAACACACACTACTCATCTCTGTCTGGGACCATGCCTGCTCGTCTCCCTGGGTCTGAACCCCCAACCTCCCCGGAGCCTCTGGGGTATATGTAATTACAGCCTGCAGAAGGGCTGAGCTTTGAGTCCCAATAGGGTGAGTCAGGTGCATGACCCTAGGCAAGTCCCCTGGTCTCTTGGAACCTGGGGTGTCATCTGTGAAGTGGGGGGACGTGTCTGCTGTGCCCGCCTGTCTGTCTCATCTGGTCCTTGTGAAGTGGGAAGGAGAAAGTGGACCTGGATGTCCTCTGGAACCCGTTCATCAGCCCGGGGCTGTAAAAGAGCAATCCCTGTGAACAAAGCAGGAGGAGTCCTGGTGGCATAGTGATGACTTGTTGGGCTACTAGCCGCTAGGCCAGCAGTTCAAAACCACCAGCTGCTCCCTGGGAGAAAGATGAGGCTTTCTACTCCCATAAAGAGTTACAGTCTTCGAAACTGACAGGAGCTATTTTACCCTGTCCCACAGGGTCTCTGTGAGTTGGTATTGACTCGATGGCTTTGGCTTTGGTTTGGGTAAACAAAATCCCCACCACAGCCAGACCTCCTCCAGAGAGACCCAGGTCCTCTTGCTGGCTGGTGCCAGTGGATGTGGACAGCAGCCGAAGTGGAGCATGAGTTGTACCCTGTTCCTAGCCCCACGGTAAATTGCCCATCCCGAGTGGCCGTGTAGGGATGTCCCTCTGCCTTGCCCGCCCAGACCTCACAGACCACGTTCTCCACCACTGACCGGCCTCATGCACTCACCGACTGCCTCGGTGTGGTCGCGACCAGCCCTGCTCTGCATGTCTCCAGAACTTTCATGAGCAGGTGTCCTCACACCGCCCTGTGCAGGAGGCAGAGCAGCTGCATCTCAGGCAGGCGGCCTGGTGGCACCCAGGGCTCCCACCCACCCGATCAGCCAACACAGGCCGGGGGCTGGAGCGGGAGGGGCGTGTGGCCACAGCCTTGGGCTGACCAGCAGGCCGTGTCTATCCTGTGGGATGATGTGGCCTCGCCAGAGGTCTCCCCACCCAGCCCACTGCCATCCGGTCGTCTCCAATCCCTAGTGGTCATCTCCAGGGTTTCCCGGATGGCAGAGCTTCACGAGAGCAGGCTCGTGAAGGCTCACCAGCCTTGTGGTGAGAGGCAAAGCACTTCATCGAGCGCACCACCAGGGCTCCTTGAGGGGCCTCCCCAGGCCTCCGGAAATGAGTTAGCTCTTGAGGGAGTTACTCTTCTCTGCACAAAAATGCCAAGGTAGGATAAAATGGGGAGCAGGAAGGAGGACCCTGGGTCCCAGGGGGACTGACTAAGGCCCTGCTCCCGAAGGACTGAGCGAGGCACCATCGGCGCCACCGGTGCTGCCCTTGGATCAGGTATGTGTCCCGACACCTGCGGTTTCTGCTGCTGTGGGCAGTGCTGCCGGGCAGAGCTGGGGAGGACTCTTCCTGCCTGGTGCTGACCTGGCAGGGCTGTCTCCTAGGTGCCAGGTCACCAGCATCCTAGTGGCGAGAAGCTTTCCGGGTCAGAGAAGACGGTGCCTTTGGGAGCAGCCCGGGAGTCACCTCTTATCAAGATGGAAGCTGAAGGGCAACACCCTCGGCCGGTGTCGTCGCCAGAAGAGACTCTGCGCACTCGGGGGTGGGACCCCCTGAGCCATGGTCCCAAGGAGAAGGCTCTTCTGCCAGGCGGAGGTGAGGGGAGGCGGGGGCAAGCAGAAAGGCAGTGGCTCAAAGCCAGGACCATGGTTGCCTCCCCCTACCTGGCAGCGGTCTCCTCTTGCGGCCTCAGAGTGCAATGTCCTGAACTGAGGCCCAGGGGAGGTGGAGTTGGAGGGGCCCTGGAGGTCCCAGAGGCCAGGGCTGGGCTGCATGGGGGTAGCAGGACCCAGCATGGGAGCTGGCCCCTAAGGACCCTCTTCTCCTCCAGCCCACCCTTCCTTGAAGGCCCCAGCCATTTCCTGGGAGGGGAGAACCCGAGACCGCCAGATGGCTGCAGCGCTCCTCACCGCCTGGTCCCAGGTGAGTGGTCCCTCTGCCCTGAGCTCAGGAGGGTCCCCCTCCCTGCTGTATGGTGGGTGCCCTGCCCCTGCTCGCTGCCTTGTGAAGGCCCGAGCCACCCACCTGCCCCGAGGAGCTGGCACACTGCGTCATACCCCCTGCAGGGCATCTGGGCGCTCACCATTCATCATGGTGCCCTCTTGTCCCTCCCTTGGTCCCTCTGCTGTGGACAGTGATGTGATGGCATCTGTTGTTTCAGATGCCAGTGACCTTTGAGGATGTGGCTTTGTACCTCTCCCGGGAGGAGTGGGGCCACATGGACCACGCGCAACAGAGCTTCAACAGGGAAGTCCTGCAGAAGAGGAATGAGCTGACCTTGGGTGAGCAGCCTCAGGGACATCCGGCTTCCCTTCAGCGTTGTTTATCTGGAAGGCTGTCTTGTAGGACTTTCTGGATTGATGAAAAGGTTGTTCAGCTGCACTAATACGGTAGCTATTGGCCAGATGTGGCTGTTGTGCTCATGAAATTTACCCAGAGCAACTGGGTGTTTAATTGCATTCGATGGTCATCAGTTCTAGGTGAGGTTTCAGTAGCCAGAGGCTACAGCATTGGGCAATGCCAATGAAGGGGGGTGGGGGAGGACAGTTCCCAGTGCTGATTTCATCCTGTATTCCCACCATCCTCCTGGAAGCTCCCATTACAGAGGTGTTTAAGCAGAAAGCCTGGGCCCGAGGTTTGGGGGCTGCCTGGCTTGGATGAGAATGGCCCTGGTTAACGACCCCACACCTGTGTTTCTGTTCTCTTTCCAGAGGGCCTCTGTTTTCCTAAACTCTACTTTCCAGGGAGGATTTCATCAGGTTTATGGAGGATTCAGAGCATGAATGCTTTCATCTGCCCATCTACCCACCCGTCCATTCTTCTATCCATCCATCTATCCATCCGTCTATCTATCCACCCACCTATCCACCCATATATTTACTCTTCCATCCATCCACCCATCCACTAATCTACTCATCCACTCACTTTTCTATCCATCACCCACCCACACATCCATCCACTCTTCTATCCACCTACACATCCATTCATCCACCCAGCCAGCCATCTATCGATACCCAGGAAGGCTGGCTGGATCTGGTAGGCTTGGTACCCTTCAGTTGGGTGGGCTGTGGTCCTACATATCCTTGTAGTTCTGACAGGTCCTAGACTCACAGCTGCTGTCCACTCACCCCTTACATGACCTCAGCGGTGTTCCCAACACATTAACATTCTAGCAAGCCTCGGCAAGTCCTGGAAAGATCACCGAGCCTTGGCACTCCTGAGGGCCTCACACTACACCTTAACCTCCTAACCCTCCCGCTACTTGATTGAGCTAACCATAGAAATTGCTTCCGAAGAGTAATACACTCCTTGCCAAAAGGGATTGAAGGAATGTTTTCCTTATAGTTCAAATATCCACCACAAAACACACACCCATTAAACAGCTTCTACATATGTAACTCCAGGACATCGTTTATAATCTTTAAGTCTGCAATCACGCTGTCTTCAAAATGGTACATATGTAGTGATTTAGGTGAAAGTTTCAGAGCAATTGGTTTTCTATTCAGCATTCCATGCCCATTTTGTGACGTTGTCTGCAGTCCCCACAGTGCAACAGCACTCCCCATTTCCACCCTGTTCCCTTTGCCCTTTCCTGCCCCTTCCTGCCTTCTAAGCTTTATCCCTGGGCAAATGCTGCCCATTTGATCTCAGAGGTTGGCTGTTTTGGGGGTTGTGTACCTCCCTAGTGAGGCTGTCTCTCCTTTGGCTGAAAGTCCAGCCATGGGGTGAGATCAGTTCTGGACCTGACTGGTGTCTAAGGGCCATAGACTTGAGGGTTCCACCAGTCTCTATCAGACCAGGAAGCCTGTTTTTCGGCTTTTTATGATTTTGAGTTTCCACATCTTTTCCCCACTCTACCCAGGACCTCCTTTGGGGTTCCTTTCTGAGTGGTGGGCAGTGGTCGCCTGGCACCCTCTTGTTCTTCCGGCCTGGGGGTCCTGGAGACTGGGAGTCACGTGCCCCATTTGTTCACTGGACTAGCTGCTTCCTTGCGTCTTGGATGTTCTTCACTCTGTGCTCTGGACAGGGAGGCTTTCGATTCTTTCCTAAATCACTCCACCATCCTGGACAAGAACTCAGTGCTCCTTAAGCACAAACTCTTTGCAAAGTGCCTCTTTGTGCCTACTGTTCTACCCTAGCTTCCCAATCATACCCAAGTCCTCCCCTGTTTGCCCCATCCCTTGTGGGGGGTGCTTGTCTGGAGCTGGGCGGTCCAGTAGCTGAGCCTGAGTCTCTCTCCCGCTAGGCTTTCCCATCAGCAGGCCTCTGTGGGCCTCCCAAGGGCAGGGGAAGGGCGAGGCCTCCATCGAGGGACTGCAGAGAGGAGATGAGGAGGAGAAGACACCTGAGTGTACAGGTGAGGTCAGGGGAGTCCGGGGGCATTGGGGGGGGGCGGGGGGGCACTGTCATTCCCAGGACACCACCATCCACAGGCTGTCCCTGGACTGGCCACTGTTGCCCTGCTTTGTAGAGCGTGGCTCTCCCTCCCAGGGGGCCTGTTTTTTCTTGGCCTTTCTTATCTCCCAGAACCAGCCCCACACTTAGCTTGGCTTCCCTCTTCCCCTTGGGCCCCTCACGGGACACCCTCTTTTCCCAGAAGTCGTGGAGGTGGGCACAGAGGCCTCTGCCCCAGCCACCCTTGGGGACATGAAGCCCTTCAGAACCCTGGCGCACAGAGCCCCAGAGGATGCCCTGCAGTCTGGGCAGGTGGCAGGCGGCAGCCTGGGCTCAGGACAGGCTGAGGCCGAGGGGCCACCCGGGCCTCAGGAACAGAGACAGCCACAGACAGCCTCGCTGGCCTGCCGGGCTCCAGAGACCCAGCCGGGCGGCTCCCGGGAGCGGCTCAGCCAGAAGGAGGGCGGGCCTGCCACTGGCGCCCAGAGCAGCGCAGAGGGCCTGGCTGCGGAGGGCGATGGCAGCAAGAAGACCTACCGGTGCGAGCAGTGCGGCAAAGCCTTCAGCTGGCATTCGCACCTGGTGACGCACAGGCGCACGCACACGGGCGAGAAGCCCTACGCCTGCACGGACTGCGGCAAGCGCTTCGGCCGCAGCTCGCACCTCATCCAGCACCAGATCATCCACACGGGCGAGAAGCCCTACACGTGCCCGGCCTGCTGGAAGAGTTTCAGCCACCACTCGACGCTCATCCAGCACCAGCGCATCCACACCGGCGAGAAGCCCTACGTGTGCGACCGCTGCGCCAAGCGCTTCACGCGCCGCTCGGACCTGGTCACCCACCAGGGCACCCACACGGGCGCCAAGCCCCACAAGTGCCCGGTCTGCAGCAAGTGCTTCACGCAGAGCTCGGCCCTGGTCACCCACCAGCGCACCCACACGGGCGTCAAGCCCTACCCCTGCCCCGAGTGCGGCAAGTGCTTCAGCCAGCGCTCTAACCTCATCGCCCACAACCGCACCCACACGGGCGAGAAACCCTACCACTGCCTGGACTGCGGCAAGAGCTTCAGCCACAGCTCCCACCTGACTGCCCACCAGCGCACCCACCGCGGTGTCAGGCCCTACGCCTGCCCGCTGTGTGGCAAGAGCTTCAGCCGCCGCTCCAACCTGCACCGGCACGAGAAGATCCACACCTCGGGGACCAAGGCTCTGGCCATGCTGATGCTGGGGGCGGCGGCGGCGGGGGCCCTGGCGGCACCCCCACCCGCGCCCACTTAGGGGGCCGGAGAGGGGGTTAGGAAGCCAAGGAGAAGGGCAGCAGTCCGGGAGCCAGGAGCGCCTGGGAAGGGAGGTGGGAGGCGGCTGGCATGGGGTGGGGCATGGCATCTTGGGAGGAGAGGCACCAGAGGGACCAGCTCCTCAGCTGCAAATTAAAGGCCTTGGAATTGAAGGGATGGCCCGCAGCTCCGTCTCATGGGCCCTGCGGGGACATGGAGCATGGGGACACCTGCCTGGCCACAGGTCTTCGCTCAGGAACCCCTGGGCCACACTTCCGGGACCGTCTGACAAAGTCCAGCCCAGAATGTTGGCGGTGTGAAGTCCATCCGCGGCTGAGCTATCTGGGCGCACAGGCTTCCCATGGGAGGCTGGAATTGTGGACTCCGGCAGGGCTGTCGTGGCTCCCGTCCCCTTCACCCTGGGAGTGTTGCATCTCCCTTGGCTCCTGGGGATGCGTGGGGCAGGGATGTGCCATCTTGGAAACTCCGGTTTCAATGTATGTCACCCCTCGCCCACCTTTCCGCCTGGTTCCCGGGATCCAGTTGTTTGGGCGCTCTCCGTCTGCGTCCACCATGGCCTTGACCACATCCAGGGGGCAGTCCCCACTGCTGGTCCATTGCTGCCTGGTGTGTGCTTTCTCCTCCACTTCTCACTCTGCCTCCTCACGTCTCCTCTTGTCATTTGCCCACCCAACCCTGCCTGTTTCCCGAGTCTTCCCTCCGGGTTTCCACCTCTGCATCTTCCGGTTTCCGAACTCTACCTTCCTTCCCCGGGAGCAGCTGCTGCTCATCCCTGATGCGTGGCTCTAGTCCCAAGACCCGCTTGCCTGTTGACCTGGAGACCTCCGCACCAGAGAAGCCATTGTGGCCCCACCTGCGTCTGTGGGTCATAGGGTCAGAGGATACACATTTCTGGTGGAAAGTTCAGATCATAGGATAACCTGGTTGACCATCGTCCTGCATCCAGGCTTTGCTGAGGCTCAGTCAGTCAAACAAATCAGTTGCCACTGTGTCAATTAGAATTCATAATGATCCTATAGAGCTGAGCAGAACTGTCCCATAGGGTTTCCAAGGCTAAGCTTAGTCTTCACAGAAGTAGACTTCCGCATCTTTCTCCACTGGACCAGCTAAGGGCCACCGATCTTTCAGATACAGCAGAGCACCGGTCCCTTGTACCATCAGGGCTGCTAAGGTTCAGTAGTGAGCCAAAAGATTATTTCTGAAAAGGAGAGTAGTAATCAGTAGAGGATGGTGTGGTTTTGATTCAAAATTCTCAGGGTCTATGTTAGATTCAAGGACCATTAAATCAGCTGGGTCATATGACCCCAAGGAAGAACAAGCCCATTCAAAAGTGGCAAATCTTTAGATCATTCAGCAAATGGGGTTACTCAGGTTGTCCTGTAGAGAGGTCAACAAACAACAGTCATGTGAGTGAGCCCCTTGCCAGTGTATCATAGAAACAATTTGTATTACTGAGGATTAAATTTGAGACTGCTCCGTCACGTACCTGCAATTTACCCCATTTAGATAGACTGTACCAAATGAAAGCTGGTTTATAGATGAACATGGGAAATAACTGTCAGTTCGAAAGAGATTATTTTGCCTTTAAGGTTGCAGTCTTAATTATTCAACATCAGAGTTTACAACCTGAACTTTGTAAATTGACTGAAATACCCTGTATGGGCCCGGAGTAGCTTGAATCATGCCCCTCCCCACAAATTACCAGGTGTAATCTCTGGAAGCATAAGGAATGTTATACAAAAAAAGAAATGTAGATGACTAATGATCGTGACACTGGAAGATTAGGCTGAGTTATTGGCAAACCGAAGCAAACTCACGGTGGAGTTGATTCCAACTCGGCTCTTATAGGGCTTCCCTATATGGTTTCCAAGGCTGTATATCTTTTCAAAGCAGACTGCTACATATTTCTCGCAGGGAGCAGTTGGCTTAAAGAGTAGCACTTTAGGTTAGCAGGTGAGCACCTACCCAATGTGCCACCAAAGCGCCTTTGGGTTATTGCTATGAAAGTCCCAGACTCTGCCACTGAGTAGATCTGTATCACGGCTACGTAGGACAGAACTGCTGCCCGATCCTGTGCCATCCTCACAATGATTGCTGTGTGAGTCCACTGGGGCAGCTGCCGTGTCAGTCCATGTCCTTGAGGAGCTTCCTCTTGGTAACCAATCCTCTGGGTTACCAATTATGGCCCCCTTCTCCAGGCACGGGTCCCTCCTCTCCACCATATGGAGCATGAAGTCTCCCCATCTTTACTTCCAAGAGCATCTGGCTGTCCATAGTATATTCAATATTTTCCTAGATAGAAGTGTTCATTCTCCCCGAAGTCTATGGCGATCACTATTCTTCATCAACACCATAATTCAAGTGAACTAGTTATTCCTCTTTGGAACTTGATTTTATGTATAAATGCTGAAAGGTAGAGATATTTCTCTTTTTTGGTAAAGACATTTCTCAGAGATGAGTGAGTCTGAAGATATATAAAGCTGGACTCCAGCTTTCTATGAAAAAATATATCCAAAAAGAAAAAAAATATTCCATAGATGTAGAGCTACAAGATCAAAGACTAGAATATGAACAGTGCTTCTCTCTGGGTTAAGAATATCTTTTGCTTTCATTCATTCAAGTACTTACTAAGTTCCAACTTTGTGCCAGGCACTACTTAGGTCAGCAGTTCTCAACCTGTGGGTCTCGACCCCTTTGGGGGTCAAATGACCCTTTCACAGGGGTCGCCCAATTCATAACAGTAGCAAAATTACAGTTATGAAGTAGCAATGAAAATCATTTTATGGTTGGAAGTCACCACAATATGAGGAACTGTATTAAAGGGTCGAGGCATTAGGGAGGTTGTGGACTGGGCTGTACAAAGTGTCTGCCCACATAGTTTATAGTCAAATAGGAGACAACTATTACACAAATATATGTGTGTACACACATATATTCTATCAGGTACTATCAGTTAAGTGATACATATTAGGAAGAAAATAGGGCAAGGTGACGACATGGTGGGGGCCCTGTTTACACAAAATTTGGTAACTTCTTTTTGAGGAATTGCATTTCAGAATACTGAGGGAGCTGGCCTCGTAGATTTCAAGATTTTTATCATATCGATGCATTCTTCCCTTTCCACACGATGCATGCAATTCTTACATAATCCAAGATGCAAAAACAAGAGAGCACTTTCAGAACGGGTAAGATACGGAGCCTCTAGTCTCAGAAGGTAGGTGTGGAGAAGGTAGGAGTTGAAAAGAGAACGGGCGTTTAGCGGATATGGCTAAACGCTCCCTCCCGGTTTAGACCTGGGACTGCTCCGCTCTCCTGTCTGCTGCTGGTGGACCATGGGGGTCCTTCCGGGTCAGCAGTCTCACTGGCCGGAGATGGCGGCTAGCAGCAGGTGGCTCTGCCCCCCTTGGATAACATCTCCGTTGTTGAGCTGTCCAGTCCACCTCCGACAACCCAACATGACGGCCCCTTAGGCTTCCCAGCTGTAATCATTACAGACACAGATCGCCATATCTTTTGTCCCCCGTTGGGTGGGTGCCAACTGCCCACTTGCCGCTAAAGACTTAGGGCGAGACGGAACCCAAGAAGGTGGAAACAGGCGTCCCGGGACCAAGCTCGAGGGCCTTCTCGGCCCTTGACCCGCTCCTAGGAGCAGACCCGGAACGTGGCGGAAGGAAGGGCCACCTAGCGCGTCCCTTCCGGCGAAGCAGCCACTCCTTGTGGCTGGAGCAGCAGTGTCTGCCCACCGTGCGAGGCTTTGACTTCCTCTGCGAGCCCCGCAAAGGAAAGAGGAGACGCAAGGTCTCCAAACCCCAAAGTTAGCGCTCCGGGATGGGTGCATGCGTGTGACGCAATACCAGTCTCTGCCTCCTGATTGGCTCACCTTGGGAATCCTCGCCGCCCATTGGCTGTTTCTCGAGGAGAAGGCGGGCTCGACAGCAAACGGCCTCCCGGCGCGTGCGGTCGTGAATGCTTGGTGTGCGCATGCGCCCCGCCGCCTCCCGGGATGCCCGCGAGCGTTTCCGGCGACGGAACTGGGGGCGCTTTGCGAGCGGAGGGTCCAGTCCCGAGGACCCCGGGGGCGCGTGCGGGGCTCCGGCTCGGGCGGGCACCCTGAGGTGGGGGCCAGAGGCGCGCACACCGTTGGGAAGTGCCAGGAGGAGTTCGGGGCGCCCCTGCTCGCTCGGCTGCTGGGGAGACACCCCAAGCGCCCCCGTCGCCCCTCGACTCGCTGCTGGGCGGGCGCGGGGCTCCGCCCGAGCTAACGTTCCCCGCTGCCGCCTCCGCTAAGTGACCCTGGTGAGTCCCCAGTTTCTCGGGAGGAGGAGGACTGCATTGGGGGCGTCGGAGATCAAAACTCACGGGTGCTCAGCATGCCCTAGGGAAGGTCTGTGGACCAGCGAAATGCATCCCTAGGGAACTGGCGCTCTCTGCTTCTTGGGAGCCTCCTGGCCCCAACCATGTAGGAAGGGTGCTAGGGAGGCGGTTCAGATGTCTCACTGTGAACAGACCGGGGAGCGGGGCCGGTCCCGCAGCCGCGAAGTGGGAGGCTTTCCTTCTGATCCTGGTTGGGGAAACTGGTGAAGGCTCTCCAGCCTTACATGTTTGGGCTTCCAGCCTACCGAGGGGCGCCTCCAGAAGTAGCCCTGGCATTTGTGACAGGCACGAAACCCAGTGGAACAGGTGCCCCTCGCGTGGAGCTACTGGTTTGCATTGTCTGAACGGTGGCTGTCTCCGTAATCCGTGTTACCCGGAAAGAAACCCCACAAGGGACCAGCTTCAACAAACAGGTGTTTTCTAACATTTTAGGAAGCTCCATTTTTCAAATGCAGGGCTCCAGGAGAAAGGGCTTTGTCTCCATTTGCTCTGGTGAAGGTTCTTGTCCCCTTTCTACCACTGTTTCTGGGAAACCTCTCTGTGTCTTTACTTACCTCAGTCATCCCCTGGTCTAGAAGGTTCTCAGCACGGGGACCCACTGATCCAAAGGACAGGCTCCACTCTCTTATAGTAATGAGGTCCCTGTTGGCACCTCTCCAGTTTTAGGTAAAAACTAATAAAGGCCACACCCCAGGAAACCCCCCCCCTTCAGGCCCATCAAGAGTTGTGAATACAGTAACTGTTTCATCCCATTTTTATCCCCTTACATCGGATTAGCTGTTCACATCCGATCACATCATGAGGGATGATCCCAACATGATATAACTGATAATCTAGATTGACACATATTTGGGGGGGACATCCCTCTGTGACAGCAACAGCAGCAACATGTATGTGTATATTGTCCCAGGTATCCTTCCCCTTTTCCATCTCTCCTCCAAAAACAGATCTTTTAAGGAAAATCCACTGTACAGACCATTGAGGATGATTGGGAAGAGTAGCAATTTAAGGAACAAGTGCATGTCAGACATTCTGAACTGAAAACAAATGACAAACTCACTACCATCGAGCTGACTCCAATGCATAAGGACCCCGTAGGACAGGGTAGAACTGCCCTGTGGTTTCTGGGACTGTCACTTTTGGTGGGAGTTGAAAGCCTTGTCTTCTCGTGGTAGTTTCAAACTGCTGACCTTGCAGTTAGCAGTCCACCCACTATGCCACCCAGGGATCCCTACCTTCAGAGCACCTTTTGGCTAAATGGCTTAGATTTATGTCTGTGATGGATGAGACTATCTCAGAAAATTATGTGTGGAACTTGAACATTCTCAGATTTCAGGAAGAAAATATAGTACCCCAACTCCAGCAGCATATGGGGCCACCGTCAGTAGTGAAACAGGTCCATCACAATCATTTATTGACAGGTAACATATAGTTAAAGTGAGGGAGTAGGGACTCCATGGGACTGCCTTGTTTTCACTGGATTTCCCAGGCTCCTCTTTGTCAGTGCAGTCTTGCCTCTTCCTGAGTGATCGCTGTAGTAGAATATATTTGAGCTTTCTGTCTCTGACCAATTTCTGGCTAGCACAGGTTTTCCTCTCCGTTCAGGAAACACACATATCCTAAGTCCAGCTTGATGAGTTTTTAGAGCCGAACACCAGTGAGATTTCTGTCCCCAAGGTACATGACCATTTACATTAAGGGTGATGAACAAAGACTGTTTATGTTCTCATTTGATTTTTTATTGTAATGCATTTGTTTTTTTCTCTTCTTTTTAAAAAAATTAATTGGGAGTTAATACATGTATCATTCCATAGTTCAGTCATGCCAAGGAGAATTGTATAATTGCTACTGCAGTTTCCAGACATTCTTTTTCTTCCTGGACTCATTGACATGTCTCCCTTTTATGTCCCTCCCCATCACTATACCTACCCCCCCAAAACAAACAAACAAACAAACAAACAAACCCAAACCTTACTCTACTTTCTGTCCCTGTAGGTTTATCAATCCTGGGTTTCATAGACCGAAACACAGAACAACATATAATGCAACTTCAAGAGGGTGACCTTCAATAATACAACACCTCTGAGGTACACCCTAATATGAACAAACAAATAAAAAATACAGAAAATGTTGAAAACCAGATCAGGTCCAGCGTGCGTGGTGGGGCGAGGTGGGAGTGGGGCGGGGAGTCAATTGACAAAGTTTTAATTGTTGCAGTCAGATTTCTGCCTCTGATCTTCTACACTCATCTCTCCAGTGCACTCTGTTTAGTACCCACTTTCCTCTTATCCCTCAATTGAGGCTAGAGGGAGTTCCCTGGAGGCTTATTTCCTATGTGATCACCACAACTGAATCTTGGGCTCCCAATATTCCCATTTCAGAAGGTCAGAAAGGGCCGACAAATGAGTTAGCTTAGGTTTGGCTGTCCATCAGGCCTGGGAAAAGACCAGGACAGGACAGGGGTTTCAGAGCTGAGGCTGAGGGGCGGGCTGCTGGTCTGGGTTAGAAGGACAGTCACATTCAAGCTGAGACTAAGGGGGCTTTGGTGTGTCAAGGGCTGACAGACAGAGTCCTAGGAGAAGGGTGGTAGCCCCGTCGGTCGATCTTAGCGTCATGCTGAGCAGCAGGTAGCGCCCAGGCTGTGGGTGGCAATGTGCCCCACCCACCCCCACCCCCGGCTCTAGGGAATGGTTCCTCCCAGCTATTGAGGGCACAAGTCATCCTTCTGTTAAAAAGAAGGTGCACTGAAGAGACGTAGGCAAAAAGTGCTAAGAAAAGAAGTCTGTTTCTGGGTGGGTGGTGGTTGGGGGCTTCTGAGCCCTTAAGGACTGGGACTGGCTGCTGCGACAGTCATGAGGGACCCATTTAAACAGCGTTGAAATGACAAGTCCGTGTCCACAAGACCACTGTGGTGCAGTGAATTACTTGAGGTGGCGCTTCTAGCCATAGTCGGTATAAGACATTTTTTCCTGATGGGTCTGCGTAAGATAACGGGCAGGATGATGCTCATAGGGGATATGGTTCAAGTGTGAGTGATCGTTTACCAGTGTTAGTTGTGAGTGTGAAAACTTGGGGCTCTAAGGAGCATGGGGATTGGTCGATGGTTTTGCCATCCTACTGGTATACAAAGAACCCTCTCAGAAACAGGAGAGAGGATTGCACCACCAGCCAGAGAAAAGAGCCAAGACTGGAGCACATCCTCAGGACCCAAGATTCCTACGTGGTGGCGTGTCCTGATCCAGAAGACGGCTGTGCCCACAGAGGAGTGGCAGCTGCAGACCCAAGAGCAGAAGGCAGCAGAAATGCCTTCAGGCAGGCGTGGGCGCCTCCAGCCACTTAGTTGGGGCGCTGAAACTGAGCACCTTATGGTGGAGTGGAATGCCTTACAGGCATTAGCAGCAGCACTGAAAGAAAGTTGTAACATTGCCCAAGCAGGGCAAAGGTCAAGAGGCTGAAGACCAGAGAGGAAGAAGCCTGCCCTTGGACATGTCTGAGAAGAGACTGTCCTGACCAGAGAACTGTATCCTGAGCATTTCTGATCCTGAGATGTAACCTGTGGACTCCCTGGATAAGCCCTGCCCTCGAGAGTGTGGTCTGTGAGTTCTCTGCGGCCTGGCAGAGAGGGAGAGTGCTATGAGAAGACGGGGGTGGCAGAATTAGTAAGGAAGGGTGGGGGCATAGAGATCGGCCTGGAGCAGCTGATTGCGTTGCCAGTGATTCTCTCCCCTTGGGAAGGCAGAGGTCAGCTGGGACTCCTCACAACCCCTTTGACAAGCACTCCGGGAAGAGGCCCTGAGGGGCACCCCTGGCTCAGATGAGAGCTGCTTAGGGCTGACAGTTGGGGTTGGAGGTCTGGCTTCTGCCCCCCACCCCAACTTTGGAATCTTTTCCTCATGCTCCTGGCAAGATGTGAAGAAGAGGGGTTGACAGTAAGCAGGCTTAGAGAGGACCCTGGGAAGCCCGTGGTGCTGAGGTGGGCATGACCTGGCCCGAGAGGAATTTTCCATCTAACCAATCAGGGTCCAAGGAGAGGCCAGAGCAGTTAGTGTCACCCTCAAGCCTTTTCCTTCTCCACAGAGAGCTCCCAGTGCGCCTTCCAAACAGACCCAGGCCCCAAAGGCTTGAGGCTGAGTGATACCATTCCTACTACCCCCCACCTTCCAGAAACGGTAGCCTGGGCAACAGTGCAACCAACTGGGGGTCAGGTCCCCTTGAATGGATGTCTTTGTCCAGAAAGCCATGTGCCCTTAGGCGGCGTCTAGTCCCTCTGCACCTGTCTTCCTGAATCCATGGTCCCCCGGGAGACAGCATGGCACTGGGACATGAGGACTCCCTGGGACACAGCTGGCTTGACCTCGACTGCCAAGCAGAGGGTGGTGATTCTCACCCAACAGCGGCCCCACAGACGCAAGGCCTGGCACTCTGCTTCAGGCAAGGTGACAGGCCAGACAGCCCCACAGAGCAGCTGTTGCTGACCCATAGGGTTTCCCTGAGCTGGAACCAACTGGAGGACAACAGTCTCTCTTCTTTTTTTTTTTTTGTAGGGGGAGGGGAGAAGCGCCCAGCGCGCTACCCTCCCCCCAACAGTCTCTTTTCTGTGGGGAACACCCCCTCTGGGCCCCGGCACCTGTGCTGTGGGCAGGCTGGACACAACTGTGTCCTCTTCTGGGCTTTCCTGTCCTTGCTGGGAGAGTCAGATTCTCAAGAGCGCTTAGGGAGCAGAGGCCCAGAGTGGGGCCAGAGCTGCCCTGGGCTCCGGTGTGCGTTATCCTGACACCTTTGGTTGTTGTGTCTGCCGGCACCCCACCCCACCCCCACCGGTGCCGACAGGGCTGCCTCTCCTAGGTTCCAGGTCCCCATCATCCTTGTGGAGAGATGCTTTCCGAGTCAGAGGAGACGGTGCCTTTGGGAGCGGCTCAGGAGTCACCTCAGCCCAAGAAGGAGCCTGAAGAGCCACACCCCGAGGGGACATCCCAGGAGGAAGGGGCTCGCAGCACTCGGAAGTGGCCGCCCCTGAAGCGTGGCTCCAGGGAGAAGA